TTTTTTTTTGGTCAAAGAAGGGGGGATCGCCCCCATGGTCAACCCTCGTCCCCAGGAGGCGATCCGTGTGGATGTTTTCGCAATTTTGATAAAAGTTGGTTATATCATTAATATATCAGGTATATTTTGATATTTTGGTGAATATCCCTTTAAATTTTCAATTGTCGTTGGCTTATCAACTAATGGTTAGTTTGTCATTAGTCAGTCCATTATTTGACAATGTGTTCAAAACCTATTTGACAACTTCTTAAATAAGCTATGAAGATGGGTAAAGTTACTTAACTTTGCCCAAAACCAACATTATTATGTAAGCAAATAAACACCAATAATGATTACTTAAAATTTGGCTAAAAAGTTAGTTGTTAATTAATAAATTAATCCGTTTAGGAAAAAAAAAAAAAAACACTTGATAAGATAAATGACAATGTAAAATGCTTTAAATGAACATGTTAATGAATTAATTAGAAAAAAACACGAGGGTTATAGTTGGAAAAAGTCAACCACAAGGGTGGTGCCTGATTGTTTTAAGCTTGGCTCCAAAGGTCAAAAGTACCAGGACGTCCCAGGTTCAAATCCAAGGAGGAATAAAAATCCCCTTGTGGCCACGGAAGTTCAAATACGGTGACTCCGGTCTATCTGCAAAGCAGGTGGTTGGCCTGGGATTAGTCGGCTGACATAGCAAGTTGGATATCCAGGTTAATAAAAAAAATTGGAAAAAAAAACTCCAAAAGCTTATTGAAACACTGTTCCATAACTAAACCAAGCAGAAGTATTTCAATAAGCTGCCAAACATGATGAAAAGGAAAAGTAATCACAATGCATTATTGAGCATTATGTACAAATTTATATCCACAAAGTAGAAAACAATCTAAGATATGTTTCATATACAAATGCCTATAAATAATTATATATATATATATATATATATATAATTGAATGATGGAAAGAAATAGAAATGCAAGCCCCCAAACAAACCTGTGAGCAAAAAGAATGATAAATAAAGAATTGATTGGAATTTTGGTCTCTCAATCTTGTATCAGACCACAATGCTCTCCCTGTCACAATAAAAGAATGAAAAACAGACCTCATTCACATTGCAAGTAAAAACTGGGATTAGATTTAATAGGGGATGGGATTCAAGTGGACCAAAATTTGGTTGATCGGAAAAGGGCAAAATGCGTCAAAATGTAATGAAGTGTGCCTCCTATTTAGTGTAATGATGAACTATTTTCTCGATCAGATCTTTCTATTACACACCCATTTTACCTTATAAACGGGTTTTCAGCCTACATGCATATTGGTTGATTTTAATGTGACATTTTTCTATGTAATCAAGAATTGTAATATAAGTTTGAGAATCTGACATACGATGTCATCAGCATTTACAAAATTTACAAAATAATATATCGGTCAAAATGGGTAGGAAACAGGAAGAAATTGAATATTTGTTACTTAATTGAGAAAAAAAATTCATTGTTACACTAACGTTATGCTTGGCAAACTAGCTGATAAGCTAGCTGTTAGCTCATAGATTAGTTGTGTTTGGTAAAAACTAGCTGATAAATTAGATAACAATGTAAAATGACCTGAGGGATATGCTAATGAGTTAATGGGAAAAATGTATCCGGCACAGTTGAAAGGAAGTGGAAAATCCCCTGGAGCTTATCAAAAAAGCCCCTTGTAGTGTTTCAAAAAGTTAGCTTATGGCAAGCCAAACGGGGCTTTTTCAATAAGCTAGCTTATGGTTGTCAAACATGGCCTATATAGGAATAAAGTCGAACTTCATTGCATTTTAGCCATCAGAAAAAGGAAAGAAAGTGAGGAAGGAATGCAACATGTGTGCTTCTAAGAGAATACGTACAAATTTGTGTTCCTTCATCTTCTGTTCAGGCTGCTGAGAAGCTCAATCGGGTTTCTGATGCAACTGTGATCAACTCAAAACAGCTGAAGAGTCATTTTAAGTTTATTTTGTTTCCATCTTGGCAGCTTGTAGAAAGAATTCTTGGTCATTCCGAATTTCATTCTGAATTCAGCCGAGGACAGGTATGTCTGCATAAAATGTTTCCAATTAGCTGGGAAGTAGACAATGATATAATTCATCTTCTTTTTCGTTGCAAAAGAAATGTACCTCTCGCTTTAAGATATCAATATCAGCAGCAGGATCAGCGGATGATGTCGTAAGGCGCTCATATGGGTATATTTTAAGCCCTTCATCATCTTCAACTTCACCCTCTTTCACATCTTCCTGTATGGCCAGGGTCTCTATTTTGCTGCTCATTGAATTCTCCTTGGAGTTCGGCTCAGATTTCGCTGGTGAGTCAGCCATAACTTTATACATGACACGGAAAATGAAAAGTAACTCACAAGTTACCATCTCACATGTCTTCTGTTTCATTGTTTATAGAAGTTCTGTTTGGTTACCCATAAGCTAGCTTGTAAGCTACATTTTTTAAAAGCATTTCAATAAACTACAGGGTTTTTTATTAGCTAATTTTTACTAAATATGACTATTTTATTAGTTAGTTTGCCAAACAAGCCTAATAAGCTACCAACTAGCTGATAAGCTAGATGACAATGTAAAATGACATAAAAGAAAAATATAAAGGGTATTTACAGAAAATATAAGGAGCATAATTGGAAAAGGGTGAAAAGAAACCCCAATAAGCTATGGGCAGTAGCTTTAAAGAAATAGCTTATTGCTTATCAAAGGGCTTTTTCAATAAGTTCAAAAAATAAGGTAGCTCATAAGCTAGCTTATGGTTGCCGAACATGGCCTTCATATTCCCTCCATTTGAAAATAAATGCAACAATATGTTTCTATGATATCCCAAAATAATGCAACTTTTGGTCCATAAGATACTTGTAATTTTGTCATTAAGGATTTTATAAACTCTGCCTAGCCAGAATGCACTTATTTAACATAGTGAAGCAGACATACCTTTTACAGAATGGGGGATAAGTTTTTCTTGTGGAGGTTGTTCAAAGGAGGCAGTTAGTGATGCTATAGCTGTTGACCTTGAAGCTGGTTTAGAGGAATCAGAGGCATCAGATTTTGGATAAATATTCTTTACAATCGGTGGAGTTGATAGGTTCCTTGCAGTTGGGTTCTCAAATGTGGAAGCGAGAGCAGCAAAGGCAGGAGATCTACCCCTCACACGGACTCTATCAGGACTAAAAGATACACTTCTTGAACGCTGTGGTTTTTCATCTGCTACAGACCTTCCTCCATTTGAAACAGCTGCTCTTCTTTTGGGTTTCTAACAATAAAAATAGATATATAATTAAAAAACTTATATCTAACAACAATCCCAATCTTCAAATAAATGTAAGATAAAAAAACTAACAATAGCTGTGATCATCCAAAAACAAAAGATGGAAGTTGAACATGGAAAATTGGACATCGTGAAACAATTTTGCAAGCTAGAAACCAATGAAAATATAAAAATTTTACTTACACCGTTTAGTGTAGGACGACCTCCATTTTTCAGTATGGATAACTTCCGTTGGAATGAGTTTCCATGCATCTGTATCCATATTAACAGAGTGAACACATTAAGAACTTCATAATTATCAGGCCATGCTTCAACTTGTAATTACAAGATCACTTACAGCAGATTTGGTTGAATCCCATGTAAAGAAACGTGTAAAAAACTGCGGCTCACTTGCTTCCATTATGATATACAGTGGAGCTTGATGGGATCGTTTCTCAAGAAGAAAATCGCATTCCAGAAATTTCTGTTCAGTGAATGTCCCAGATGATTAGTTAAAAAGATTTTGATTTCTCACACTGCATGTTTATTTTGGTATACAATAATTCCTGTTCATAGATCAGAAAGTCAAATATATATATATATCTACACACACACACACATATAGAGGGAGGTTAAGGGGAAAACCCCCCAAAAATGACAAACTGCAGAAAACCCTGGTTTTTATGCACATATGCATGTTATGCACATGTGCATACAAGTGAAGTTCTTTCTTGGTTTTTATGCACGTGTGCATGTTATGCATATCAGCATATGTGCTTACCAGACAAATTGCTTGCAAATTACTCGTATGCACATGTGCATACCGTCCAGATGAACGGTTACCAGGGTGTTCCTCAATTTTTCATTCTTTTTTGCAGTTCTTCCCTGAACCTGACCCGATACATACTTATATATTATGATTATACATATATGTATATATTTATATTCAAATACTCAAAGTATTCAATAAGTAGGTACAACTATATGCAAGTTGAACAATCTATATCCAAAATCCAAGTCTTAAATGTAAAGATAGTAGCTAACTCATACCTCACCAATAACTAGCACCTGGGTTCTGATATTTGAATCAACCTGTTGCCCTACCCAAACAAAGATGCTGGAGTGACAATCAAGAATAAATATATCTTCAGTCATCAAATCGTCCTGGTCGAAGTTGTATAACTCAGTCACCTAAATTAACAACACGAATCAGCCTTCTGAAGAAACTTAAAGTGCACAATTCTCATAAGAGGTTGATTAAAAACAGTGTCCAGGTATTCGTTCAACAGATACAAGTAAACATTATGATAAATTATGCAGCTTAACATTTGTGAATTTGAAATTGTGAACCAATTCAGCATTTAAGATCATGAACCATGAAAATTGGAGGACATACGTCTAACTCATAGTGTAAGGGCAAATCGGTGTCAATAGATAACTGGGGAGGGACCTTGTACCCCACACCCCTCAAACAGATATCCTACAGAGTGGATTAGTTAAATCCTGTTGCAGCAGGTAATTCCAATTATGTGTGTTATCTCCATGACGCAAGTGAAATTCCAAACCAGTAAAAAACATTTTGGGAAGAAGAAAGAACCAAAATTTATTTGAGTTGAGAAAGCAAAATGCAAATTCATTTCCTCTGTGAACTATAAGGGAATAACTATGAGAGTCTACACACCTTAAGATCTCCTGAACCAGCACCAGTTCCAGCAACAAGCAATGAAAAAAGGAATTAGTTAGTATATTCATAGCAAGCGTAAGAAATTAATCTGGCATGGGAATATGGTGTCATCAAGTGTTGCTTTAACCTTCCGAAAATGAGCATGAGAACAAATGCGGATCACTTTCAGAGACCTTTGCAATCTTCTGACTGGGGTATTCAGATTTTCCACCTAAAAGTTTCCAAAATTGTTCAGATTCTGAGCCTTCTTTCTGTGGTTTGGACTGCATATTTGGCTGCAGTTATTGTGAAAAAAAAGGGAAATCTGATGAGACCAACAACAAGTAGTACTCTTTAAACACTTATCTACAGTAGAAACAGCAAACAGAAGTTCATTCCTAGGAGCACACCAAGAGTCAGAGCAATATCCCATTAAGACACATCTTAATTCTTAACCCAACAAACTGATATGTTTTAAGACTAAAGATTCGTAATACTTGTACTGTATACTCTTGTGCCATATGACAAGTTGAAATCATATTCCACAACATGACTATGCACGGCAATCTCAGCTGTGAGTTGCACTAGCATATTCAGCACAAGAGATGTTAGAACTTACATTCACAGAAGAAGTAATATGATCCACTAGATGGGAAAAAGGTTTCTGATTAGGATATGTATAAAATTTTGGGGATTACCAAAAAAGTAACAGAAAAACTGATGATATATGACACCACAAGGTATGTATGTTATCATAGAAATATATTGATACAAAAACCATTGAGTTGATGTTAAACTATCCATGCTTATGATTACCCACATTATGTGGATAAGATAGATGCACAAGCAAAGAAAAGATCAGCCACTATCTTACAAACATAACGGTGCACTGTAACAATTACAAGAGAATACATTACATTGGGTAACATTAAATGCAGATATGCTGTGCATGTTGTGCCTTCAATTCAATATGGGTGATTTTCTTTGTGTATTTGTGATACATAAGTGCTAAAAAATTTGGACCTATCCTCTAGCTTAATGGCCCCAAAAGGAACAACTTTATGCAGTCATCATCCCAAGCGGAAATCTTAGATATACAGACATTAATGGAATCTGCAGGGCCGAATGTATTGAAAATAGATATCCTTGGCAAGATTATCAAACCTTTATCACATCCAGTTGCCTCTCGACAAGTTCCTGGTCCTGAGGAGCTGTGAGGTTTCCAATCCATGTGTAGACGAAAGAACCACTATGTAATATGTAACAGTAGGAGGAGTTCAAAGATGAAGCCACCTGAGCCAATTAGAAACACAATGACATACTTTCTGGTGATAAAAAGGTAAGCTTCTTTACTGAGAAAAGGACAAAAAATGAATATGTGAGTCATTCTAATGGAACTTATATGCAGAACTTTTACTTAGGAATACAAATAGCATGACGGCAGACAATGGCATAGAACCTTTGGCCCAACGGCAGCAATGCCTACCTTAAGCATCAGGAGGAGAAAGTTGCTGTAATCTGACTGTTCAAGTATTTCACTATTTGCCCCTTGACAACTTCAAGGAAAAAACCCTTAAATACTCCACTCTCTCCCCCCCCCCTCCCCCCAAAAAAGATATACTTGTTTCACCATTCATCTGACGCCCCTAAAAATCTCTAAAATCCACAGGCTTAATAGCGGAGACATTATCTATCATGGTAACATGTACATTTAACAGATAATCCGAACAAACATCTGCTCAAGTAACTTTATTCCACATTACTATTTGGTTGGTTACCTATAGAGAACTGTCAATGCCTTATTATATGTCTTGGTTAATTGACCCACATATGTACTCTATTAATACGCTCCATTTTATCTGTTGTGTATAGATTAATTCCATCCCTTCTTTTCACATGGTATCAGAGTCAGACCTAGAAAACCCTAGCCATAGTCTTCCATGAACAGCTCTTGGCAACCGTATATGGTTGGCATCCAATGCCTCAAAACAGTCAGACCTAATCAACTAGAGTAGGTTTCAACCAACAGCAAGCGGACATGCTTCAATTCAGACAGTAGGTGCCTGATTTTTAGTACTACATGAGTTAACTTGCTTTAGCTATGGCTCCCCTGCTCCCTGATCACACTATATCCAAAGTCCCATGAGATCCAATGTTTACTGGTTTGACAGCCTAGTCCCTGATCACACCAGATGAGAGGAGAGAACTTGGTTCAGCTATGGCTCCCCTATTCCTTGCAAGTGGGTTTCCTTTAAATCATCATTAAGTGACTTTGCTGCTGGTCTGATTGGTACTTAAGGATCTATTTATTTGAGCTGAAGCTTCCTTGCTGTAACTCGTTCGGTTTTACTGTTAGTTTGATATCTTATTCATGGAAATTTCTTCTAATTGGTTTTGGTTATCTGAGTTTATAATTTGAGATGGCTGGTCAGACAATAGCAATGAGGTTGAATGATGGACATCGTTTCCAACGGTCAAGCTTTGTGATCACTTGCATGGGATTTGGGAAGATTAAGTATCACCGTTATATGAAGCCTCTGCCAACACCAAATACTGTTGATTAACGAGCTATGAACAGCAACATCTTCTGTATACTCTGGAGCCTGATATGCATATCATTGAGTGACATGTGTGGCTTCCAAACCATTGTGAGACCAAATGGCAGTCACCTATTCTGGTTCCACCAATACTGTGTCACATATACAGTGCTTTTCAGGAAAATGCATCTTCTATGTAGGCTTGTTGTCAACTCATAATTTGGGTTAACTTATGCTTCTAGGGCTCTTACACATTACTATCATTCAGTTCTGTCGTTCTTGTAAGATGTTAAGAAACCACCCACTTGTATGGAAAGGGAGTCCTCAGAAATTGCAGCTTATGTGGAGGTGCTAGCAGATAGCTCGTAAAAGATTTGGTAAGGGATCCAGTTACAGATACAAAAGGGGATTTGTCGGAGGTTTTATGTACATGTCCAGCATCAATTGTCAAGCCAATAAGTGTCATTGCTCAGAGCTTCAGCAAAGCTCCGGGTTTGACTAGCTTGCATGGTTCAATGAACAGTACCTGTTAGGCTTCTTCTACTTGGATTCCCAAATAAACTCAGAAGAGCTCAATCTGATTCATACTTCTTCCTCTCAAATAAAGGTTATTCCTCATGCTACTATAGCACACTTAGGTGATCATATTGGATCATCAATTCATGTGCTTCAGAACATACGACTCCAGAAAATATAAGAAACTCGCCCAGTTCGGCCCAGAGGAAGAACACAAGCCTTCTAACCCAGGGGGCCGAAACGAGCCAAGTCGAATAGCAAATAGTTCGAGTTTCAGCTTGAAAAAGTAATAGCTAAAATTCAAACTATATAAGCTCATCTATATAGTTTAAGTTAAACAATATTATTTTTTAATGTTCTAGATCGGCTCAATCTTGAAAATTATTAAGTTCGAGTAGCTCACTAAAAGCTTGAATTGTTAGCGTACACTCTAGCATTCACTCTTAGACCGAACCAAATCTTTTGTACGTATGTATTACAAGTCATTGAGTGAGCCAAAAAATGACCCCTCACATTGGTGTTCTTGGAGGCAGGTTTCGTATGGGGTCGGTTAGGGTTGGCGGCAATCAACTTTTTGTCCAAATATGGTTTACATAAATGACTCCAATTTACTTCAATGTAATAGATACATATCTTAAAAATCACAAAACTGCTGAAATTTATATAACTCTTATGAGAAATTGACTAAAGATACGGCAAGATTCCAAATTTTGATTTATACAATCTAAAACTTTAAATAATCCAATCAAAGGTAATAACTAAAATGGATATTACTACCCAAAAACAAAGGCAAAAACTTATAGAGAAAATCAAGAAAAAGCAAGTGATTGGAAATATGGAATGCTTGACATGCAGTTGGAGGAGTAAATAAGGACTCAACCAGTGAATAGATGATGTTTGGAGGGGCCATTGTCAAAAACTTAAAAAAAACCACACTGGTTTTGCAATCAAGTCTATTAAGTAGGAAAGCAGGGGGCCTTGGCCCCCCAAAGCCCTTTTTGAGCTCCACCTCTGGTTCAGCCCATGATTCTGGGGTTCTCAGGAGCTGCTACCATTCAGTCTACTCACTTCTCCATGGAACATTCACTGGCATTACACCTTCAAAATTGTAGGAGCATCAGGAATTTTGCAGGTAGAAATATGGTTAGAGATACTATTTTGTAACATCACAAGTACTATAAGTACATAGTTTAGTCCACACAGACAGATTGACCCTCAAAAGTCTTTAAATAGGACAATGACTACTCCCGTCAAAAAATCAAATTACTACTGTCTCAGAGAGAAATTTAGAAGTGAATCTGGTGGGATGTCTGTTAAGAGGCATTGCGATCCCGTATGGTCTATTCTCATTAATGTCACAGCGTATCGGCTTAGCCATTAAGTTGTCAATCACTTCAGCAGAGCTCGGGGTTTGATTAGCATGTATGGTTCACAGGATTTAGTCTAATGTTACCTGATTCACCACTGGCCCCTCCAAGCCACAATCAAGGTTGCACGACCAGGTCCATGATGCTTTGATGCACCAGATCGGCAACAAAAACAACCAAAAAATCATGGAGGTGCAAATCAAATCCCTACAAAACATGAACAAGGCTGGTGCAAGTATGTTTGAGGTCCAAAAAGAAGGCATATCAAATCCAATTCTCGACACGGTAGTCCATAGAGCTGCATCCGTGGGAGAAAATCCTTATTGTCTGAGTAGTCTATGAGAGACAAATTATCTCTTTGAATGAATCAAGTTAAGTTCTAAGGCTTTTTAGAACATATGGACTACAGAATACAAAATATGGATTAGGATTTGTTTTTTCAAAGCCAGCATGAACTGTGTTTGACACTAGGGTTTTTTTAACATAACAAGTGAGTTTAGCTTTGGTCTTGGTTTCAAAAAATCATCTGTAATATTCAAGATTTAGTTTTATAAATTAGCATTTTTCTCAATTTATATGTATTAAAGATTTAGCAGATTTCTATTGTTATAAAATTGGAAGATGCACCTTTATATTCTTATATTCCAAAATAATATTATCTAGATATTTGTTACCACTTCAGAAAAAAGTAAATAAGAACATCATATTTTTATTTCATGTCGGTTCTACAACAAAACAAAGGTTACAAGATGTCCTATTATGATATACATTGATTATTGTATTGAAGACCTTATATATTGATTATTTTATTACTTTCAAGTACTTTTAGTTGTTAGTATATTGAGTTCACAATTTCTTAAAATTTGGATTGGAATTTCTATGTTATTATAGTACTTGTTTATATATTTGTATTGTAAATTAAAACTATGTTTGAACACATTTTAAAAAAATAGAGCTTCTTCTTGCAATGTATGTATATGCACATATACATTGATGGAGGGAGGCTCTGGGGAAAACTCCACAAAAAATAAAAAACTGAATTTGGACGATATGCACATGTGTATACAAGTAATTGAAGCTGTTTTTTGGTTTCTATGCACATGTGCATACCGAACAAGTTGCTTACAAGTTGCTTACAAGTTGCTTACAAAATTACTTATATACACATGTGCATACCGTCCAGATGAACGGTTACTAGAGTGTTCATCAGTTTTTCAATTTTTTGTGGTTTTCCCCTCAACCTGACCCTACATTGATATATATATAGATATAGATATATAGCACACCATATTATTTAACTTGAGAAGTACATGAATAGTGTATGCAATAAGACTAACCCCTATGAATATAAACCCAACGCATACAGCATACGAGGTAATAGTTGTTCTATCTACTCTACTACCTCCTGTCCAGCTGAAGGGGAGAAGCCAATCTAATGGATAATATTTATACGAGGTAATACTGAAAAGCCTGTTACTTGTCTAGGATGTGTCATAAACCATTGATGTTTCAGATGACATAGACGGTGAATAAAAATATCTAGATTCTAGCCTAAGGTATATCTTTTGGAATATTCCCCTGTTAAAATAGCTGATGGCTCTACCAGGTATTAAAATAGAAAATTAGCTCTGCCTTGAATCTGTCTAATATCTTATACATGTCTAGCTTCCATGATAATATTTTCTTTGCTGATAAAATTACTAGAGATTCAAACGTTATTTCACTGTCCATCCCACTCACTATACTTGTCACATGCTACGGACTTCCTGCAAAATCGAAATAAGAAGTACCATGGTTGGTATCAGATAAAGGGCCATTTTTCTATATGTTTAGGATTTATTAGAGATGTACTGAGGAGAGGAAAACTCTGAATATAGTACACAAGATGGGATGACAAAGACAAACAAATAAACATAAGAATATCTTAAAACCATAATTCTAGCCAAATTTTAATCTTATCTCCTAATAGTCCTCAATTGAATGCTAGAATCATTCCCAACTTGATGAAACCAGATATAGAATTGTCAAAACTAAAAATGCCGACAACACTAAAGAACAAACTAAAAGAAACAAAATATAAAGAAATTAGCAGTATGCCTGAACCTCACCTCCTCCTAAATGGATCTAACTAGATGACTCTTCTCATTCATAGACCTACTCATGTCCTTCAGAGATATACCAATTTGATTTTGAAAGATTTTGAGTATCAATCCATAATACTCCTCAGCAGTGTCATGACATAAAAATCCTTAAAACCCAACTGAAGCAGCAATAAGCATAGCCAGGTTGTGCTCTTAAGGCACACCATTTCATAAGACACTGGATCATAAAAAAGTGTCAAAACAGCCAATAAAGACATAGTTTCAATGACTCGTAGACTTCTCCCATCTCTCTCCAAGTGGAGAGAGAGATCAACTGGGTATGAGGTACACCAAAAGAAATTTTGGACCAAATAGGATGGTTCTAGATTGCTGCTTTCAGAAGGTCTGTACTTACACATCACAGTCCTGATCGATGCATAATCTATCGCCTTAAATTGTTTGGTCGTGGCATCATCCAACTCACTCATAACCATAACTACATTCACCATTGGTGATTGAATACTGTTTATTTTGGACTTGGGTCTAGTTCACGAAGTGTTTTAAACCTCATCAATCCATATGAAGTTTCCATACAGGATTCTCATTCGAATGTTCTAGATTTTGTGCCAGAATATGGTTTCATGGGTACGGTGATCCAAGAGCTTTTCACAAGACAAGGTTCAATGATCAAGTTTCAACATGTATCAAGGGTTTCGAGGATTGGCAGCTCAAAAGCTTTTAGTAGTGCAACAACAACGCTAATCAATGTATTTTATTCTGGGAAGAAAACTTGCCTTTCTATCATGCCTTTATGGCATAGTGGGCATATGGGCCTGAACAGGTAAACATAAGAAACCCTACTTCAAATTCTAGTTCCCAACAGTTTTGAGAGTCACTAGAAAAACTTTCGGAGTCGATGTGAAGCGATTTAAGATTAAGATTTTTTCGTTCATTCCAATCCAATCAAAAAAGACCCTTTTGTGTTATCCCATAAATAGATTTTAAACCAATGACATTACGACTCAATATATATTACACCTCAAACATTCATATATGAACTTACAGGTTCAAGTTGGATTGCTTGCATGTTTTCTGGTCCGGAGCCTTGTACTCGAAATAATGCAACTTCATCCTGTGTGCATGTTCTATTGGGTGATTCCTTCTCTGATATGTAATTTTTGTATCCATCACTAAAACCACCCTGAGAAATCCAAAATTTGATGATCGTGGTCAATGCACATGCATAGCTCATTTGTGGACGATAGCTGAAGAGGATAATTCTTATGTTCTTTTTTCTAGCGTCTAAGTTTAAGCATACCTTAAGAACCATAAAGCTCTGGAAGATAGCAAAGAAAAGGACAGGTTCACTTCCTTCGTAAATGCGTGACTAGAGATCCATGAAATGAAGTATCAACATATAAGTATTTGATAAATAAGATAAGAGAAATTAATAGTAATTTTTTTCGTCAGGTTTAGCGATTAACCTGAGCAGCCAAATACTTTTGTGACTCAACCATCTTGTTCGCCTGTGAGGTAGCTGAGATTCTGTCTTCCTACAACACATTTCATTTACATAGATTACTTCCATGCATATAAGAGAGGCTTGGGCTTGGGTTGCAGCCTTGCAGGCATTATCACAAAAATTCCAATTATATGTACGTAACTACATATCATGTTGTATGGTTAGGCATATAATTATTATGTTCATAAGCACCGACAAAGGATCATGTGAGAAGAAGAGTTCAGGTGAGAAGCGTAAGAAGGAATTAGAACCGTTGATCACTTTTAATCTCAAACCCACCCATGAATTGTGCTTGATGCGGTGATTGATCCGGTGCATCCAAGGGTGGAGATCCTTTCTTACCCTTCTCAACATAACTTTCCTTCTCATCGGAACCCAACCCCATAATCACCAGGCTTATCCAGATTCAGAGGCCTGGACACAGTTAGAGAAAGAAAATCAAATTTTAAAGCAAGACTTGATAAAAGACCAAAGATGGTTTCATCTTTCCTGATGGCTCAAGCTATCAGAGTTCTGTAAGGTATAAAAATTATTTGGAAGAAAACTTGTGATTAATTCCAACTTCACTGGAGGTCGGTGTAATATATTCCGACTACTGTCACGTCCTGCAAAATGAATCATATATGCCCACTGGCACTTCACATCCCTTCGGATCTGCAAGAGTCAACCACCTCATCTTGCAGGTGTCTCTTCTAAGAAAGACTCCAATCTGATTTGCCACCTCTCCTTGATGCAAGGATGACCATACTACCTCACTAATACTTCATCGATAAGTTTCCCTTTTATGGAACAACCCAGAGATGTAGAGCATAGAGGAGTTAACTGAGAAGATCATGTCGATGATGCTGAATGAAGGTTTAGTGAAGCATTGTGTCTGTCCTTTTTTTTTAACTTAAAAGTTTGGTGAATTGGTTTCTGAGTCCATGTGATATTTGTGATAAGGTCTAATGATTTTTTATATTTAGATAATAATAGTTAAGGCAAGATATACAATGTGGGAGAATTTTGCCTCTGACAACTAGGTTACAGCTTTGAATTACATGTTCTCTTCATGGCTAGAGTGCTTTTTATTGAAAACTAGCCGTCAACATGTTAAAAGATTTCTACCTGTAAAAATGGGGCTCTAAAAACATTTCTTCTATTAATAATTTTTGGGACTAAAAAATGTACAAAAAGAAGGTGATACACCGGACATTCAGAAAAGCAATACTACTAGAAATCAATTGATTACTTTGATTATATATCTGACTTTCGAGAGGTCAGACTCTCTCCCAAAGGCTCTCGCCTAGTTTGTGTCTAGAAAACAGAATACCCTACTAGTCTCTCACGGCTCTTATTTATACTAACCCACTGCATAACCTACTTGTATTACCGCAGTGGTCACTTGTACCCAACCTACTAAATTTACCTACACTACAGAGGGTATAACAATACAAGCCCCCTAAACTTCCACCTTGTCCTCAAGGTGGAAAAAAATCAAATATAAATTCATTCCGTTAATTTACATCAAAGGTTTGCGGTTTTCGATGAATGTAGGTATTGCAAAAAATTGTGTCACATATAGGAGCTCCAATATGCTTCATAACAGATTTAGGAATTCTACTATGTTTCTTATTCATTCTTGACAGAGAAGCATACAATATAAATACACAAGGCAAAGGGAAAGAAAAAAAAAATTATTCTATGAATCCCTGATTTTAAGGGATTGCCTACAATCACTAATATTATGGGATTATAATCGGCTTCCATTACTCCTACATTAAATACATAATCATTTACATTTTTACATTTTCCCACACTCCCCCTCAAGCTGGTGAGTGGGCATTCCAGCTTGGATAAAATTCTCTCGAACATCAGTCTACTTAGTCCTTTGGTGAAAACATCTGCTAGTTGTTCATGAGTAGGCACGAATGGAGTACAGATTAAGCCACTGTCTACCTTCTCCTTGACAAAATGTCTATCAACTTCAACATGCTTTGTTCGATCATGCTGAACTGGATTGTGAGCTATGGTTATTGCTGACTTATTGTCACAATAGAGCTTCATCGGTCCCTCCTAATCGATCCTTAGATATGTTAGGATGATTTTTAGCCACAATAGTTCGCATATACCATGTACCATCGCCCGAAATTCGGCTTCAGCACTAGATCGTGCTACCACGCTTTGCTTCTTGCTTCTCCATGTCACAAGATTTCCTCTGAGAAAAGTGCAATACCCTATTATCGATCTATTGTCAACTGATGACGTAGCATAGCTTGCATTGGTGTATGCTTCAAGAGTTACACGGTTATTTCTTTCAAACAGGATTCCCTTCCCCGGTGCTTCTTTGAGATACTGAAAAATCCGGTGTTTGGCTCGTAAATAGGTTTCCTTTGGGTTATGCATGAACTGACTGGCCATGCTTACAACATAAGCTATGTCAGGTCTGGTATGAGACAAATATATAATTTTCCCCACAAGCCGTTGATACATTTCTTTGTTTACAATTGCATCTTCTTCTGCATTTCCCGGTCTATGATTTGGATCTATAGGAATACTATCAGGTTTGCACGCACCTTGACCAGTTTTCATGAGCAAATCTATAACATACTTCTGTTGGGATATAAAAATTCCCTTTATTGAATGAGCAACTTCAATTCCAAGGAAATACTTCAGTCTTCCTAATGTCTTGATCTCAAATTATTTGGCTAGACATAGGCTTAGGGCTTGTTGCTCTTCTTTATCATCTCCTGTTACAATGATATCATCCATATAAACCAGTACCACTGTTGTTTTTCTTGTTTTTGAGTGCTTGATGAACAGAGTGTGATCCCCTTGACTTTGTTTATATCCCAAAGTTAACATAGCCCTAGTAAATCTCCCAAACTATGATCGAGGAGATTGTTTTAAGTCGTATAGTGCCTTTTTTTAACTTACACACCATATTGGGTTTGGTTCCTTTTCCTTAACCAGGTAGAACATCCATATAGATCTCCTCCTCAAGTTCTCCATGCAAGAATGAGTTTTTTACATCAAATTGATGCAAATCCCAATCAAGATTAGCAGCTAGGGATAGAATTACCCTAACTGTATTCATTTTTGCAACAGGTGCGAATGTTTCAAATTAATCAATGCCAAAAGTCTATGCATATCCCTTGGCTACCACTTTTGGTTTCTACCTCTCAATTGACCCATCCGCGTTATATTTCACTGTATAAACCCATTTGCATCCTAGCCTTTTTCCTTTCGGCAATTTAACTAACTCCCAAGTTTTATTCTTTTCAACTGCTTCCATTTCCAAATTCATGGCTTGCTTCCAATTTTCATTAGATAATGCCTCAGATAAATTTATAGGAATGGAAAAGGAGTTGAGGTTGACAAGAAATGCTTTGTAGGTGGGAGAGAATTTTTGGAAAGAGGTGTAGTGTGATAAGGGATACAATTGTATTTTTGTGCATTCTCTTGTTCCCTTTCTAATGGCAATAGGCAGAGATTGGTCACTTTTTTGAGATCCAGTTACGCTTTGCAAGGGTATAGAGTCATAAATTGTTACCTCGTCTGAAGGACATTCTCGGACTTGCTCAGGTCCAAGAATGTTCTTTTGTCCTGAGTATACCAGGTTCTTCCTAAACCGAGTGGATTCAGATTTTGGAATAGGTTCATGATTTGGTGGAATTGTTTGAGTTATGAGTAACAGGAGTACTTGGGGAGTGTTCAAGCGCAGGGATAGGAGTGGAGTGAGATTGGGATGGAATAGGCTCACGAGCTGGTGAAACTATTTCGGGATCGTGGATAACAGGAGTATTTGGGGAGTGGTCAGGGATAGAAGTGGAAGCTAATATAGATAAGTCAAGAAAAAGATCTTCCAGGATACCCTTATCTTCCTTTCGATCCCCCCCTGAAGATAAGGTTGGTGAAGTAGGGATTGTTTTCGCTAAAGGTTACATCCCTTGACACAAAAAACTTTCTACATGGGGGGTGGTAACATTTGTACCCTTGCTGGATTGAGGAATATCCAAAAAAAACACACTTTAGAGCCCGAGGATCAAGTTTGTTTCTGTCTTGGCTATGGACGTGAACAAATGAAATACATCCAAAAATACGGGGTACAAGATTGTTGGAAGTGGACACATTTGGGTAAAAGGAAGAAAGTACATCCATAAGACTTTTGAATCCTAGAACTCGGGTAGGGAGTCTAATTTATAAGATAAGTTGTTGTGAGCACTGCTTCTCCCCAAAAATGTTTTGGAACATTATTTTGAAATAATAATTGTTGGGTTCAATGCTGTGCTGTAACGTTGTATTCAAGCAGTTTCTCCTATTTTGTATTAGTTAGTGTTTAATGCTTTCTTAGTATAAATAGGGTGTTTAGTGATGTAATTGTAGTTGGTGTTAATCACATATTGTAATCACTTTTCAAGATATAATATTCAAATACTTGGTGAAATTCTCTCTCTACTTGATTCTACTCTTGAGAAAGATAATCTGATTGCATGATATTTGGGAATTACAATTGGTATCAGAGCATAGGAGCAGCAATTTGATTGAAGGATTGCATGATTTTCGAGAAATTACACACGAATTCTGGATTTTTTTCGGTTTATCGCTGTGTTCTTCGTGTTCTTGACAGTTTTTGAATTTTTTCTACTTGAATCTCATTAAAACTGCGATTTAGGTGTTAAAATCTTGGTTACTAAGTTCGCGAGTATGATCTGAACATATTTGATTCACAAATTTTTGCAATTTAATCAAGATTTGAGGTGTTTTTGAAGAATTTTTGGATTTTTTGAAAACATACTGTTCTTAAAAAGTTCATAATTTTTCAAGTTTTGATCCATTTTTTCGTGAAAATTTGATAAAAATTGTGTTTGTTAATCCGCATAACTCATTGTTCGATTTAAGATAATACGCATAGTACTTTGTGCGATTTGTAACTTGGTGATTTGTGATTATACTTGTGCGATTTGTTCATAATCCGATTAGACTGAGTGATTTATATTGTATCTGCATATAACTGTGTGCGATTTAGTGATAATCCGTGTAACTCTATCT